GGCTCTCCTACTCCCCAACCGCCCCCCCCTTCCCCCCCCCATTGCCTAAGCAGCGAGCATGACTGGTCAGGGGGTGCACCAGCAGTCTCAGCGGGTGCACATGCACCCCTACCTGTTGCCACTGTTAGGATCAGCTGCACCACAGAAAGACCATGACTGAAGTCCCATGTTCTACCTGAGAGTAAAATTGTACACAAAAAAGGTCTTTTCTTCCTTTATAATCACTGTCCCCTTGCATTCAGCACACAGCTGATCTTGACATCCAGACATACAATGCAAACATGAAGTTTTTCCTCTTCTTTAGTCAGTTATGTGCAGTGGACTTCTGGGTGGATACTGACTCAATGATTAAACTTGCTCATCCATAATAAGCTAAGGGTGAAATTGCATGTGACACTTAGACCATACTAGGGGCATGTGATGTCGGTTGCCTTATGGGTGGTACCACTTGTCGGTTAGGTAGCCCCTCCCTCGACTTGCCTGCCACGAATTTGCTGTTAAGTTCTCATGAGGGGGTTTCAGTGGAGATCTTCCCAGAGAGGCTCCCCGACATGGCTGTACTCACAGTTGTTAGGCGCAATGTTCCACGAGGCTCTGCCTCCCCTACACCCTGTCCACTCGCCAACCGGTCACGTGCTGGTCCTATGTTAGCCTCAGTCTTGTAGGCTTGCCCTGCAGTAGGCCTCGGGTGGAGGGAAGAGCACGCAGCTGAATAACTTAGCCGGCTCATGTCCCTTCTCTCTCTATTCTTTGGACTTCCCTCCTTTCCTTTATTTTCTTTTCTCCCTATCCTCTTCAGAAATAATATTCTCCTGGAGAGGAGCGGGATGCAGAGCCACCTCCTCTTCCCCAGCAGTCTCCAGGGGACTCTGAACCCCTCCCCTGCTCTACTTCTTCTAGGGGAAGCACCAGTCTCTCCTGGCCCGCCTCCAGCAGGGAGCTGCTGTGCTTCCCCTGCTCTGCCTCGGTCAGGGGCTCAAAGGTTTCCCCTGCCTCACATGCCGGCACTGCACGGGCTACGGCGTGCCTCTTCCCGGCGGGAGCCTCAGCACGCTGGACGTGCAGCCAGCCAACTCTCTCTCCCTCTGGCTCCCGCCTCTCCGCGGGTCCTGTTGGGGCTTTTAAACCTTCCCCTAGTGGCCATGCCGGCCGCCGCGATTGGGCCGGCTGCCTCCCGCGTGGGGAACAGCTGCTTAAATAGCCAGCATAATGCCGGCTCGCGCGGCTGCAGCTGCCGCCGCAGTCCCAGCTCCTGCGCCGCCGAATCTGCCAGAGGTAAGTTTCCCCCCTCGGGGGGTCTGTTTCCGGGCTTTGTGCTCTCCACGGTTTTCTCTCGCCTCCTCTCGAGCCCGTGGTGGCACGTCGCTGCCACAGGGCACTTAAAACATGAGCATCCATATGTTAAAGCTGAATAACTCACGTGAAGTGCTTTCTGGGCATCTCAGAGTTGCGTCACTTCAGGTAAGGTGCTGGGCTGTGCTACCTAACTTGTGTAGGATAACTTCAGTCTGCTCTACAGAGAAAATGAGCACATTTTGCAGTCCTCCAGCATCACAGGATGCATTCATTCCATTTCCCAGCCCCCTCCCCCAATAGAGGATAGAGAATAGAAGTAGAACCCCCAGGTGTCCTGGCTTCTAGCAATGACCCTGCTTGCCAACCCTCTACTGTTAAATCACAGCTATGCAGGCAAAAAATGGTATTAACCCTTAATATGTGACCGCTCATAGCATATTCTAACTTTAATACTGTTTAACGTTCCACAGATTTAGTATGGTCTATGTATAATATGCAACTTCACCCTAAATCTTCACCACAACATACAAGCTCCATGCTCTACTTGCAGCAAGAACCACTCCTCTCCAGCAGCAAGAACAGAGAGGCTTTCAGCCTACTATTTCCAAATGAGGCACATGAGAAGAATTATAGGAAGCTCATAAAGGTGTGGACTTAGTGCGTGTGTGTGTGGCATGCATCACAGCTTCTAATTATTTTCATCTAACTTTTTGTATGGCAAATTATTAAATATGTGACTTTACCTCTAACCAGCTGGTATTAAGTCCACAGGAAGAAGGTATTTTCAAATGCACAAGTAGCTGTTAGGCCTGTAATCCCCATTGACTTGTAATGGAAGTTAGGCTCTGCTCCGCCTTCGAAAAATCTCATCAGGAGAATCCATGCTAGTAAAGGAGAGCTGGGAGCACTTTTTCATAATTTAGTTAATGCCTTTGTATCTTCTAGGACAATTGTGTGAACAAAGTCAGTCGCCAACTCTCTCTGGGAACCAAGGGTTTTCTTCTGCTCCTTTTCCTGAGGATAACAGTGAGGGTAGATCCCATTGTGCACTGACTGAGCCACCTCCTTTGCCACAGAAGAAGACAGTAAGCAGAGCAGTTTCATCACCTGATGGCTTTTTCTGGGGCCAGGCCACTTCAGGTAGGAGAACAGCAAAACCTGCAAGCCCCAGATTAAACGTCAGTCACTCTGAAAGCAACATGTGTGTCCGAGAAGAATCTCCATTTTGCTATCCATCTCATCTAGGAAGCAACCACAACACATTCTCCTCCGCTGAGTCTCTGGAAAGAGTCTGCAAAGGAAATGGCCACTGGGGACCAACTTCAAATAAGAGCAGCAGTGCCTGCTTCCCAAACAGAAACATGCAGCTGTTCTCGTCCTCTCAGCTCAGTGTGTCCAGCCAGGTTTCCTCAGGCTCCAGCCTTCAGCTCCACAATCTGCTCAGCAACATTGACAGCAAGGAGGGGGTGTATGCCAAACTAGGAGCACTCTATGCCGAATCTTTGCGCCGCCTTGTCACAAAATGTGAAGACTGTTTCATGCGTGATCAGAAAAATGAGCTACGTTTCAGTGAGAACAACTGGTCACTCTTTAAGCTGACATGCAACAAGCCCTGCTGTATTTCTGGGGATGCCATCTATTACTGTGCAACCTGCTCCAAAGACCCTTCCACTACCTATGCAGTGAAGGTAATTTTACTTTCCGGCCTTTTTGTTGTCTCTCTGCTCAGTCATTTATACTGCAGTGTAACAAGAATAGATCCTGCCGACTGTATAAAACCACATTGTGTACTAGTGTCAGTTGGCACAGCTCTACTGGAATCCCTCTCTGGGAGATGAACTTTGGTGGAGTGTGAACTGCAAATGTAAAAAACAATAGATTAACTTCCGAGCCATAATCCTTCAAAAATGCCATTCCTTGAGGTCTTTTTGCATTATCCATTACTGGCACCATGACCAGATTACTGAATGCTCTTTGGAGAGCTCCATTGTTGTTTTCTAATAGTACTTGGCACTTACATGTTCAAAGCACTTTCCACCATGCTCCTGTGAGGGTAGGTGGTGCTATCTCTGTTTTATGTAGGACAGAACCAGGGCAAAGAAGCCATGGTATCCAAGTCAGTAGCAGAACTGAGATTAAGGAGCAGTTCCTGGTATCTAACCCACAGGCTTTCTCTCCTAAAGAGTGCTGCCTCTTTAGAATTCTAATACTGCTTCTGGGTGTAAGCAAAGACTGGAAATTAGAATATATGGCAAAACCTTAGTAGATTTTCACCAGAACATAAATAATTTCCAAGTAGACATGCACTAAATATAGTTACGATTTGAAAGCTTCTTTTAATTGATTCAGTTGTTACAAACCCTCTGAGGAAGTTTTAGTTTAGAGATATTAATTTTTAAAAAATGATACATTAGCAGTTAAAATTCTGGACAAACCAAACATTAAGACACCTTAACCATCTAATTTAATGGGCAGATCTATCATGCAGCTCTATAGATATTCCTGTTCCTGCTATTGTGTGATTGGGTTCTAAGCCTAGTTATCTCCTTGCTATAAGGAGATGATTATTATATAGAGGGAAACAGCCTTTTTTTTGTTCGTGACAGGTCTGCACTTGTGTCCTCACATGGAATCTACATTTATTTTGTGATCCTGGCAGAGTGTGTCACACTAACTGAGCCAAAGCAGTCAGATGGGGCTTTGCTTTACACTAGTGTTAGTGGAAAGTATATCAGTTTTCCAGTGAGCTTTCATTTTCCTTAATAAATTATAACTGATAGGCAATAATTGGGAAACGTAACTGCCCCTTTTCTATGCATAGTGTATTATTGTATTAATTTTTAAGCATGAAAATGGCTACAGCCCTGGGGTTAAAATTAGACTTGAAAAAATCTAACAGCTTGAACATTGGAGGTAAGCCAAGAGTCTGCCAAGAAGTTTGAGCCAAAACTTGAGCCAAGCTATTTATATTTGCTAGACACCCAGACACACACAAAAATAAAATGAATAGAGAGCTCCAGGGTCACAATGACTGCTGGGAAACCCAGCCAAAATGGGCTCTCTTTCGTGGTGTTTGTCTTCGTTCAAAGGCTCAGAGCGAAGCCAGCTGCAGATTCTTACCATCAGCTTTCATTGGCTTGTGTATTGTGTGTTTAAAATGTATGCAATGCACACACAGTTCAGTGATGTGACCAAGCAGGTTACACAGGAAAACTTTCACCATATTCTTCCAAATCAAAGCTTGGCTGTTCTGCCTGTATTAATTTGCCTCACTTGCATGTGCTTCCAGCTTGCATGAGCAACACCAATAAGATCGGATCCTGGTATTGTGGGTATATCTGTTTAAAAAAAAAAAAAAATTACTGGGAGGGGGTCACTAAGAAGAAGTGTTGCATACTTACAGGCATATTGGAGCATGAAAGCACAGATAATAAAAAGAGAGGTATAGTTTTTTGTCTGATATTATAATAATAATAATATTATAATAGTATAAGACGGATATTATACCAGTCATATTAAATGACAAAATATGTGTATAACAAAGAAAAAAGGGCTTATATTCACCTGGGGTGCTTAGGGTTCTCTTGCATCTGTTGCATTGATCTGTAGTAGACCCATGGGCTATGCTCCTGGAAATCATCTTTTAACAAAATAAATGTGCAGGACCACAAGACTGTTTTTATTCAGATGAGAGAGGACACAGTAGGCTTTGAATTGCCCTTCCCTGTACTACTTAGTCACCAGGGTTAATGACCTGCAAACTTCTAGATTCAGAGTATTTCCAGAGGAGTATAAAAATAAAATAGCCCTCAACCTCCTGTTTATTCACTTCTGGACTCATTTGCCATAGATGACAAAGCTTTCTTGTCTAGTTTTGCACACACGCGAAAAGAAAGAGTGACTTGCTCCAGGGTTTGAAACCTTTTACGCTAAGCTTCAACCTCGAGCAAGTTTGTGCATCTCAAGTGTAAGTAAATCCCTAAATAAAAAGGCTTATAATGGAAATGCTGAAAAGCCTGTAAGATTTGTGGAGCTAATGGATGTTGCTGGAATAAACCTATTTTTCTGCCATTATTTGTGCTGTCACAATGGGAAAGTTTCAAATAAAAAAAGATTGTGTGGATTGGATTTACATAAACTTTGACTTAGAGTGGTGGGGCAGGAACCACTTTGTAGCTCCATCTTTCTTTTAGTCATAAGTGTTAAGGGCCAGGAGAGAGGGCCACTGGCTTGAGTTGCCTTTATATAGGTACACCTTGTGGTTCCACTGCTGGAGCCTTTTGTGTGCTCTTCTGGCTATGTCGGTGCTTCAGCAGTAGAGAGCAAAGGACATGAAGGAGAGAGATGTGAAGAAAGAAGGTTCACTACAAGTAGACGAGACATAGAAGAAAGTTGTGTGTCTGAATGTAGTCCCAGAAGTCCAGAAGTCTTGAGAAGATCGGGGCGACGTATAGGGGGTGCATGGGGGTACATGTGCACCCCCTGAGAGTGCCGGTGCACCCCCTGTCAGGCCGTGTTCCCTGTTTAGCCGGCAGACGGGGGCAGGCGGGAGCACCAGTGCCCCCCTGCGAGTGCTGGCCGGGGAGCGGGGCTGCCAGCAAAAGCAATCACGTCGCTTCTGGTTTCTGACTGGTGACTGGAGGCACCAGACACCCATGGAGATGATAGTCACCACAAACCTGGTATTTTAAATATTTGGGCACTTAAAGATGCAGATAGGTGCCTAAAAACGTTTAAACATGTAGAGTAGTGTGCAGCCATGCTAACCTATGCAACTGTCCCTTTTTCTCTTCCCAGATATGTAAGACTCAAGAATCAAAAGCAGCTGCTTCATACTGCAGCCCCTCTGTACCAGTGCACTTCAACATCCAGCAGGATTGTGGGCATTTTGTAGCCTCTGTACCCTCCAGCATGTTGCTGTCTCCTGAAGTAGTAAAAGGCACTTCTCCAGATAGTCCCCGCCCTTGCCGTTCTGCCAGCGAACATGACTGTGTGGTAGTCATCACTCGCGAGGTGCCACACCAGACGGCAGCCAGTTTGGTGAGGGATTCTACAGCTTATCATAAAGCTAAGCCAGAGCTGTATGAGCGGCGTATATGCTTCCTGCTCCTCCAGCTCTGCAACGGCCTGGAGCATCTCAAAGACCATGGCATCATCCACAGAGATCTTTGCCTGGAAAACTTGCTTCTCGTTCACTGCAAATCTCCAACTAGCTGCAATAAAACCAAAGATGAAAAGCACTTGCCCAGACTCATAATCAGCAACTTTTTGAAAGCCAAGCAAAAGCCAGGACAAGTGGACTCCAAAATTAAAAAGAACCAGGCTCGGCTGGCTCCAGAAATTGTGTCTGCCTCTCAGTACAAGAAGTTTGATGAATTTCAAACTGGCATTCTCATCTATGAGCTCCTCCACCAGCCTAACCCATTTGAAGTGAGGGCTTGCCTCCGGGAGCAGGAGTACAGCCAAGATGACCTTCCCCTGCTCCCCAACATTTCCATTTACTCCAGGGGGCTCCAACAGCTCGCCCATTTGTTACTGGAAGCTGATCCAATCAAACGCATCCGTATCACAGAAGCAAAACGGATGCTGCAGTGTCTTCTTTGGGGCCCCAGGAAAGATTTAATAGACCAGCCTCTCAACCATGAAGAAGCCCTCCATAGTGCTCTCCAGAACTGGATTGACATGAAGCGGGCACTGCTGATGATGAAGTTTGCAGAGAGGGCTGTAGACACAGAACGAAGCATAGAACTAGAGGACTGGCTCTGCTGTCAGTATTTAGCTTCTGCAGAGCCAGTGGCTCTCTTCAATACACTGAAACTCCTTCAGCTTCTCTGACCTTAAGAGCATTTCAAATGCAGAAATAGCAGGGAGGAATTATGAAAGATCTTTCTAGGGTTCAAGTTTGTTCATGGGTAATGGTACACATCTCTTTCACATTCTTGTTTATAACCTACTAAAAACTGAGGATGAAGTTTTTTTTCTCAACACACACACAAACACAAATTGATCCATTTAAATAACAAGTTAACAACATAATTTTGAGTTCTGCACATTGCAGATGGAAAAGACAGCTACCTGCCAGGTTTGTGGTTTTGGTATGATTACTGCACAGAAAATAAAACCTATGTATGTATGTGCATGTTTCCTAATGAACAGGATGTGTTTGGGTTGATTTTAATGACAGATACATATTCACGTTGGAACAAAACTTTATTCCTCATAAAATAGGGAAGTTTGAGCCATAATCTAAGCTGCCATACTTAAAATGGTTTCCAGATTTGTAGCCCAGTTACTTGCAGCAAAAATTATAGCAGCATGGGGCAAAATGGCAGATAAAGAGAGCTAGTCACTGCTTGAGTTCTCAGACCTTGCACAGTGCTATCCAGATCACACACAACCAGCATGACATCCCCAGCAGGGAGTATGACTGTAAAGAACCTACCCGTCTTTAAAAGGTCATTTCATGGAATGCAGGTGTCAGTGCCAAGATTCCTGTACTTGTTATGAGCAGTCATTTTTGGCAGCCTTTTAAATCCCTCCTTTCTATAACCAGAATTAGCAGTTATTACACATTTTTCCTAGATAGGCTAAATGTTGTCACCAAGATCTTTTTTGGACAAAATTTTCCCAGTGTTATTCCATTAGTTTATCTTCGCTGCAGGTAGGAACAACTGGAGTATTAGTGCAAGCAAAGCACTGTGGCATCAGGCTACTTGAAGAGTCCAACACTGTCCCCCTTGTTGGAAGCTGAGTATGTGTTCTGAAATGTTATCAAAATCACTTCAACATGGCTTTATCTGGCAGTGTAACTGATTCAAGGCAGCAACCAGGCCTAGAGGCATAAAAAGCACGGTTTGCACCCTGAGCAAGCTCTGCAGGAGAGCAGAGCAGGGAGGTTCTGCAAAGTGCTGGAGAGGCAGGGGTTCTGAGGTCAGGTTGGGCAGTAGACTTACTTATACCAGGGATTCAAAAACAGTTCACAGCTGCAGCATGATATTCCTGCCCTGGCTGTTGTTCCTACTGCAGAAGCTTGGTGTCTGTGCAGCCAGCTGCTGCTGCAAGAGCAATGCCATGGTGCTATTGCCATAGTGTGGACAGGGAGGGGGATGCAGTTCTGGCACTCCTACTAAGTTGGTGTCCAGGATTGGCTCCCTGCTCACTCACCCCAAATTATGCTACTGACCAGGCCTTTTAGGCCTTTCTTTTAGGTGAACATCTAGTGATGGGCCACTTGCATGGAGTTTGCTACAACTGGTCTCCCAAGTGGTGCATTGACTCCCTTTAAAGTTACTGAGAAGGGAAAACCTCAGTTTCGGCTCCCATGGCCTGGGCAGGCAGGTCATGAGCAAATTAGTTTTCTTCTGGCATTGTTTTCTGTGGCCTTAGTTCTAAAAAGGTGTGTGAATAAACCCAAGTGTGTCCGTGTTTGTGCATTGCTAATCATGCATGGATGCCTTGTCTCTCCAGTCTGGTCCCTCCAGCACCTCCATTTTGTGTTGATTCAGCTGTCACATTTTCTTGAATCTTAGAGGGGTGTCTGGGGCACTGGGTATCTCTGTGTGTTTTCTATTTGTTCAGTGCCTGGCACAGCACAAATCAGAGCAGTTAGGGACAACTGAAATATTCATATCCATTGAAAATACCTCTGCAAGCAAAAAAAGTGCATGAATCAGAAAGCTAACTGCACCTTGTCATGCATCCACAGATGCATCACGAGCAGGTCCAAGGAGGTGATCCTTCCACTCTATGTCACACTGGTGAGGCCACAGTTGGAGTACTGCATCCAGTTCTGGGCGCCGCACTTCAGGGTCCAGAGGAGGACCACTCGCATGATCAGGGGGCAGCAGGGCAGGCCCTATGAGGAGAGGCTACGGGACCTGAACCTGTTTAGCCTCCACAAGAGAAGGCTGAGAGGGGATCTGGTGGCCATCTATAAACTTGCCAAGGGGGACCAGCAGGCAATGGGAGAGTCCCTGTTCCCCCAAGCACTACCAGGAGTAACAAGGAATAATGGCCGTAGATATCAGAAGGCACTACTTCACAGTCAGGGCGGCTAGGAGCTGGAACCAACTTCCAAGAGAAGTGTTGCTCGCTTCTACTCTGGGGGTCTTCAAAAGGAGGCTAGATATTCACTGAACCAGGGTCATTTGACCCCAGCATTCTTTCCTGCCCATGGCAGGGGGTCAGACTTCATCTGCTCAGGTCCCTTCCGACCCTACCAACTATGAAACTATGGTTCTAATAGGCCATAACTAGAACATATCTGGAGTAGTCACAGGTGCTCTGACTGAGACTCAAGGCCTGGCCTCTGCACCCACCTGCACTGCCACATCTCAGCCCCATTTGTGCAGTGGGATGGTGATGCTTTCTACTGGGCACTCTAAAAAGTATAAATTAAATGTGTTGTATGATGTTTAACTATTTATTCCTGTATCGTGGGTTGGAGTAGCACTTGAACCCCCATCAGGGCCTGTCATTGGACTAGATGCACACATGAAACCTCTATCATAGATTACTTAAAGAAAACCAGGAACAATCAAAATATCCTACAAAGTGAGGAATCAGCAGATTTCCTGTAAGGCTCTTTCAAAGCTGTTCATCTGTATAGGATCTGATTCAAGAAAAAGCTTATCTTGTTTATTAGCTATTATTACACATTTCCATGTTATTGACTCTACATTAGATTTGTTTCCTCCTGCCCTCTCTGTAAATCAGTAGTTCTATGCACTAAGGTGGCTGACTAGTTTTCATTAAAAAAATCGGTGGACTGTTCCACCCTCATTGCCATCCTGGCAAATCTGCGTTGACATAAGAGTTGTATGGCACCCCTTGAGTTATTCTTCCAGGGCCAGATCCTGCTATCTGATCGGGGATAGCATTGTACTTCATTAGCAGGCTTACAGATTTTAGGGAAACAAGCTACAGCACAAGAAAGGGTAGTAGTGTCTACCCCATGAACATGCTGCAGTCCTCTGTTACCCTTTTCTTTGGAGAGAGAGCTCCATATAGAAATATGGAGAATTCAGTGACTAAATCAAGTCAGTGAGAATGATGTTAAGAACATTCATGTGTACTTTCTTCCTGCCTTTGTTTATACCCAATTCCAGAGGTTTCTGTTTATGACTTTTAAATTATTAGGACTAGTGTACTGATGTTTGACTTTTTGAATCTGAATACCATCTTTTTGCGTGCTCTGTATTAAATGTTATCATTCAAACAAAATGGAGGGGTTGCACCTACTTACCCCCATGTTCCTGGGCAATGTTTACTTCCTCCTGGAAACAGGTGTTATGCACTTCTGTTGGATAAAAGAATAATGCAATATTGTTCTGCGGTTTTTTAAAATTTTATTTCTGTTTGTTTTGCAAGATTCCCTCAAACACACTGAAATTGCCTCATTAAATTGATGGTACTTATATAAACATATAACAAGTACTGAAACAGTAGCAGTTATTAAAAAGCTGTTTAAATGATTAGATCTAACTGAAATCTTGAGAAGCAAAAGAACAGAAAGTTAATTCCCAGTAATGGGCATTTTTGAGACATTTGGTCTACATACACATTCTTGCTTGTGGAATGTACTGAGCTCCAGAGTCTTTGACCAGAGACTTTTTTGCCCTAGTGGTATCTGGAGAGTGCATTCCAGCACTGCCCCAGCAGACAGGTCCCTAGGCTGAGAAAATGTAGGGCAATATGCACTTTCTCAGGTTCTTATCAGCTGCAGAGTTGATTAAGTCTGTGACTCCAAGGAAGAGAGGAAAGTGGGTATATTTCAAATGTGTATATGCACAATAGGTCTCGAAAGAAATTCGGTTACTGAGCACTTCTCTGCATACATATTTTCATTTATGGGTAACTCCATAGGATTATCTATGCATCTGGAGATTGGTCTCAGAATCCTCTAGGTTAACAGTGATTGGAGGATTCTGGGCACGCTATCTGTTTGAGTGGCCTCCACAATTGGGTAGTACTTCACTAAGGTCAGATTTGAGCAATAGGTACAGGTGTCAGTCACTTCAAAAGAAGCCTATGGAGTTGGCCTGAATTCTAGTGGAGTGGTCAGAAATGACTAACAGCTGCCCCTTCCCCTTTGGCATGTTCCTAGCATAATTTTACAAAGCTTGATATCCAGCTAGATAATCCCTGGACTCACATTGCTAAGCCTTTAGATATTTCAGCTATAGCTACAAAGTACCAAAGGGACTTACAAAAAGGCATGGTCCTGTGTAAGTAGTAGGCCAATACACTCTGATAAGGAAATTTGTTTATTCAAGTAGAATTCGGTGACCATGTGAGGCAAGAACCATGGATCCACCATGAAGGCTGGGAGCACACAGCTCTCCTTGCAGAGTTAATTACCACCAAAAATGTCACTTCCCTGGAAGGGTGGAGCAAGGAGCATGTTCACATCTGCTTAAAAGATAGGTCCATGAGAATCACAAGGGCAAGATTCAGATCTTACTACAGAACAAAGTCCCTGACAGCAAAGAATACCTTAGCTAAATCTTCAAGGAATATGAGGACTGCTAAGTGTGAAAAGGCAGGCTGGACATCCTGGGGAATGGTGGGGAACAGAAGGGGATGGCCACTTGGGCAGCAGTGACCGTAAGATGACTGAGTTCATGATCCTGAGGAAAGGAAGGAAGAAGAGTAGCAGAGTAAGGACCCTGGACTTCAGAAAAGCAGACCTTGACTCACTCTGGGAACTGATGGGCAGGAGCTCCAGGTGTGCCCCGAGGTGCATGTACAGTTGCTGCTGGCCACAGAGGCAGGCCAGGTCTCTGGACCCTGTTGTACCAGTTGCAGCCTCCTGGTTGCCTGCACATCTGGCCCAGGCTCTGGACAGCTGCTGCCTGCCATGGATAGTAAAGCACTGGAACAGGTTACCCAGAGAGGTTGTGGAATCTCCATCCTTAGAGGTTTTTAAGACCCAGATAACAACACCTTGGCTGGGATGATCTAATTGGGGATAATTCTACTTTGAGCAAGGGGTTGGACTGGACCTCCTGAGGTCCTTTCCAACCCTAATTTTCTATGTGTCTATGATTGGACCCTGAGGTGGGAATTTGAATGCTATTGTATAATGATCTTTATGTCCACGTGTATCCAGAGCATAAAACAAGAAGACAGCCAGTGCAAAGACATATGATAATACAATGAAGAAAGGTGAGAATACTCCAGGACATGGAGGAAAAGGATTGTAGTTACAGTGAGGTGAAGCTGGGAAGAGACCTGAGACAAGGCAAAAACACCCTCAAACCTGTGATCAAGGTTGTGGTAGAAGGCCAGAAGGTAATGACAGTAGTAGATTCCAGATGCACCCAAACAGTGGTAGAGTGGAACTTGGTCCTGAGGATGGATCAGTGTTGTGGACAGTTGAGCCATCACCACATGCTTACATGGAGAAACATGCCCCTATGATGAAGTGTGGGTGGCCCCAAGGGTGAGGGGTTATGTATGCCCAATTCTAGCCTGCGTGTTTCCAAAGCTTGTTTACCTGGTGATCTTGCTCAGACTGTGACTAGCTGAGGCTCCATGAAGTATTGCAGGCCATCACCCAGGACGAAACATGGGAGATGCAAGAGGAGTGTTTCCAGGCTAACCCCCTAAAAAGACTGGCTGGAGAGGCCCCAGAACCTCTGATGGCAGAGACCCCCTCAGCAAGGCTGGATATAGGCACCTTTTGAAGGATGGATACTTCCAGCTAGAACAAAGCTGGGAGGAGTGATTTAAATGCACATTTTGCAAGCACCTGGCCTGATGCGACAGAGAGCTACTAAGCCCAGACCTGGCGACAACAATCCCACAGTTTACAGGAAGAAACAACCTCCTCTACCAAATTGAGCAGGGAAAAATAGAAGGAGAGGAGGTAGAACAACTGCTGGTACCACAGTAATACTGATGGGCTCTACTGGAGATGGCTCATGAGTTACCCACAGGAGGACACCTGGGGAGAGGTAAGACCAAAGCCAGAATCAGGGAAAGATTATGTTGGCCAAGACTATTACACAAGGTTGGGGAATATTGTGCATTATGTCCAGTTTGTCAGAAGATAACACCCAACCATTCATCTGGGGCACCTTTGGTTCCCCTCCCTCTGATTAAAATGCCATTTGAGAGGGTGGTGGAGGACATCGTAGAGCTGCTGCCCAAAAGTAGTTTGAGGTACCAATCTATACATTTGAGGGAGAAGTTGCTGGACTCTTGCCTCAGCTATGGAGCTACTTATATTGATGATACAATTGTTTACACCTTGATAAACATCTAAAGGCCCTTTGAGCTGTTCTCCAAAAATTTAAGAATGACAGGGCTCATGGCCAACCCTGGCAAATGCATAATTGGGAAGGAAAAAACCCACTGCCTGAGTTTTGAGGTGGGAAGTGGGCAGGTGTGGCCACTGGTAGATCTCTATACTTACCAACTGCCTAAGACTGTTGGAGAGCAGGGGGAGTTGGGGAGAGGAAATCCCTGCTCACTCCCATTCCTTTCAGTGTCTGGGAGGCAAGCTGCCTCACTAGCAATGGGACGAGCCACAGGGGCAGCTGGAGCAGGGCAGCTGGAGAGCCAGTCCTGGCACAGCACTCCCAGGAAGCCCTGAGGTATGTCTGAGGGCACAGGGGAAATAAATTCTCTACCTCAGGAGATCCTCCAGGCTGAGGTGTGAGCAGGCCCAGAAATGAAGAAACAGGTGGCCAGGACCCTCAGGGCAGCGTAGGGGCTGGCCCCTTAAAGGGTCCTCCTGGGAAACAGAGTTCCCTAGAGGGAAAAGCCCTAT